CATTCGAAGATATTACCATCGAAGTTGTCGATGTCGATATCTTCGATATTAACAACAACATCGTCGGGGATGTTAAGATAGTCGAAGATGTCACCATCGAGATCGTCCAAGATGTTAAATTTTTCTGAGGGATACTCATCATTCGAGCGATCTTGTTGACTTACTGAACTTCGACCGGCAGTGTGGTGGTTTCGTGTATCTGGCAAAGTATGTTCCAGCTGTGGATTTCCTTTCCTTGGGTCTAGAATGAACATTGGTTAGATAACACTTCATTGTTCATTCATTTCAGATAGATTAAATAAATGCTAAAAACTCTGCTGAATTTGCAAAACTGAGAAGCTCTGCAGGACTTTTCAATGATTTCTTATTACTGAGGAAGTTTTTACTCTGTGGTTTGTGTTGACAGGATTTCATGTGCGTGGAAAACGATGATTGGCTGTAGTATTCTTTCTCACAACCGGGATTTTTGCATTGATAATGAAATGGTTTCTTGTGCGTTTGGAAATGCTTGCCATATTCGCCTTTGCCCTGCATGGTCGCATTGCAGTTAGCATGTGGGCACATATACATCTTCATATCTGAAAAACGACTGTTGTGTCGTTTGTGTTTGCTTAGTTTTTCTATCATAGCATTTGGTAATTAATTGATTCAATTTAAAAATTGATCATGAAGATATCAATTCGACAAGACAAACCTCACATTCCAATTAATTTAGAACACACGGAGCTGTTCATTTTCTTGTATATATTTGCCACAGAATCTAAATCTTAATGTTACAGTTGACGGAATCTCGTACAACGGATAGTTGTGATTTTCTTGCTGCGGGCGAGAACAGTTTTGATTCAGATTAATTACTGCTTGCATTTTCAATTCCGCGGAATGGAGTGAAAGCAGTGAAGTGAAAGGGATTAAAACGATATATCATTATATAGTTCTTCTCTACTTGTTACCGGTAATTGTCCATTAATATTTCCCCAACCACTGGCATATGTAACCGTATCTAAGCCAATTAGTGCTAAATCCAAATTGTTGAGGATGTAAAGTTTTCTGAGAAATACTCATTGCCGGAGTCATCTTGTTGACCTAATGAAGTTTGACCGGCAATGCGATGGTTTCGTATGTCTACTAAACTATGTCCCAAATGCGGATTTCATTCCACTCGGCCTAAAATTCTTATAAAATCAGACGAAATGAGTGATCGGTGGCCGTTTGATTCCATCAATCGAATTAGGTACTGTTTTTTCACGCGTTTATCATTGCATTAAAAAACCGATGTAAACATAGAAAAGAATACAATAGAATATTCGTTCCATTATTGTGATGACGTTATTGTCATCATTGTTAACACTATTTAAATTCATCGGACTGCAAGGAGCTAATTGCTAGGATTCTGTCACTCCGTTCATTATCATATCAGTAACTGCCAAACACCCGTTGCGATAAACGACAAGCGGTTTTCTACTTAGAAAAACATTGCACTTAGAAAAACATTTGCAGAAAAACATTGCAATAACTATGGAATTGTATTTCATTGCCGTTAATGTTTTACAACATATTTTTTTTACAACATATTTTTATGTGAACATACACGTTGAAAACTCTTCTGCTAAACATTAACTTTGCAAAACTAACCTCTAACTCCGTGGCATTGCTTCTTGTGCTTTCGTAGTCCATTCTTACAAGAAAAGAAAAAGCCACAGATTTCACATTGAAGTTTAGGTTGATGTTTCTCGTAATGCTCTCGAAGTAATTTTGGGGTACGACATTTCTTTCCACATGTGGGCCAAGTGCACTCATATAAACCTTGTTCCTTGTGCGCTTGAAGATGTTTTGAATATTCCTCTTTCGTCTGAATAGTCGCAGTACAATAACGACATTTATGCTTTCGTTCAACTGAAAAACTGTTACGACGTTTATGTTTAAAAATGTCATTTTGTATGTTAATTAATGAATATAATTTGAAAAATGCTGTATTAGCATCATTGACCTATTAAATCACATTTAAGGTTACTTAAATTACGAGATGTTGTTCATTTCCTTTAAAGAATGATTTTTTTTAAAAAATAAAAGGGTAATTCTATCTTTTTTGCTGCAATGAGATCAGCTTCGGATTTGGAATTCTTTATAACTTATAGCTTCAATTTCATGCAATTGAGTAAAGGTAGTAAAGTGAAAGGAATTAAAACGATATGTTATTATACAATTCTCTACTGCTTGTTCCCGGTAATTGTCCATCAGTATTTCCCCATTTACTGTAATATGTAATCGTATCCGAGACAACTAATGCTAAATCCAAGCTGTTATGGATGATGTTAAGGTTTGTTGAGAAGTACTCATTGCCCGAATAGTTCTGTTGACCTAATGAAGTTTGATCGGCAATGTGATGGTTTCGTGTGTCTACCAAAATGTGCTCCTAATGCGGATTTCATTTCGCTGGACTAGAATGAGAATTTGTTAGATATCACTTCGTTGTGCCAAAGGAAGTCCTCTACGGTCACAGATATTTCGTCAATATAGTTCCACATGCATCCATTTCAGGCAGACAAATAAATGCTGAAAACTCTGCCGAATTTGCAAAACTGAGAAGCTCTGCGGGAATATTTATTGTCTTCTCTTTATTTTATTTGTGATTGTTTAAAATTGAAGAAGTATTTACTCGGAGATTTGTGTTGACAGGATTTTTTGTGTTTGGAAAATGTTGATGGAATGCGGAATTCTTTCTCACAACCGGGAAGTTTGCATTGATAACGAAATGGTTTATCGTGCGTTTGGAAATGTTTGTTATATTCGTCTTTGCCCTGTATGGTCGCATTACAGTCGATATGTGGACAGTCATACTTTTTCATGCCTGAAAAACAACTGTTATGACGTTTGTGCCTAAATTTGTTTTGCAATCACTGCATTTGGTAATTAGCTGAGTCAATTAGGAAACTGACCATGAAGATATTAGTGCCATAAAACAATTTTAAAATTCCAATTAATTTAGAATACGTGAAATACGCGATAGTATTCAACTTTTTGCATACATTTGCGACAGAAACCAAGTCTTAATGTTACATCTGATGGAATCCCGTACAGCGGATAGTTGTGCATTCCTTGGTATGGGCGAGAACAGTTTCGATCGTAGATTAATTACTGCTTGCATTTTCAACTTCGCGGAATGGAGTGAAAGCAGTAAAGCAAAAAGGAATAAAACGATATATTATTATATAATTCTTTACTACTAATAATTGTCCACTAATTGTAGTTGTCTTTAATATCCAGTAATTGTCCACTAGTATTTCCCATTCACTGTTATGTGCAACTGTATCGGAAGCAATTAGTGCTAAATTCAAATTATCGTAGATGTTAAGGTTTTCTGAGGAATACTCATTGCTTCGAACGACTTTGTTGGCTTAAAGAACTTTGTGATCGTTTTATGTATTTACCAAAGCATGCCCTTACTGTGGACCTTCCGTTGAGCATAGAAGAATATTTCCTACCTGGAATATTTCGGACTGAAACGATGTATAGCAAAAGATTGAACCAAATGATGTATGCCATCGATATAATGAAGAACAAGGCGAAGTACAGAATTTTTGAAATGGCAGAAATGCTCGAATGGAAGCATTTTATTTCAGATTGGTTGGAATTAAACGACCAAAGGTTCAAACAGTTTTCAATTCGTGCGATTCAAATTATTTTTTTATATTTCTCTCCTTTGAATTCTCATTTTCCGATCACTGAACTAGCAGTTGATCAATACGCCTTCGCACTACTAGAAATAGTGAGAGATTGAAAGTTTCAATGACATGGATAATATAATATTTGCATAAATTGAAACTAGCGGATTATTTGTAGCGGATTATTTCCTGGTTATGAGAATATTTAATCCGTACGGTATTGAATAACTCTGTCTGCATTTTGTGGCATTGTTATGGAAATATTTGGTTTTCGTTTTTAAGCGGTTAGTCAATTGTTGATGCAGACATACTGGATGCAAACGTATAATGCAATGCAAACACGAAATAATCTCGCACATATAGTAGGACTTAACCATATTGTCATTTTTAAATTTTAATAATTATTGCTTTTATTAATTCAATTATCGTTTAAGCTACCTGTATTCCAGAAGACCCATAAAATCGTGAATTACACGTGCACTCAGAATCTCGTTCAAACTATATTCCTTTTGAAATTGTGAATTTCTGTAAAAAAAAGGAGGAAAAAGAAAAAAAAAGCAGCAATAGATGTTGCAAGTAACAGATGAAGATGGCCTTTAATAATGAATTATATTATGGCAATAAAGTAAGTGATTTGATTTGATAGCCTTCATGGAGACTAATTGTATTAAT